GGTCCACGTGGGTGGTAACCTTGTGGGAAAACCTGTATATAAGAGAGAATAAACCCTCAGACTTATGAGTTCCTGTTTTACCCTCAACATAGAGCCTCGTCTCATGTGTGGGGGAAAAGGCAGCATCTACACTGGGGATTGCTATACACTGTATACTCCCCTGGCTATAATCACTAAGCTCTTTTAAGAGCTTGTTCCTACTTCACTCTCTGAAGGAAGAGAGGTTCACCTACTGGAGTCTGGAGCCTTGTCGTAGTTCTAGGGTGGGTAGGAGACAGCGAGACCCCAACCAAGCTGTGGCGGTTTTATGGGTCTGCAGTGATTATGGTGTCTAGTGGAGTGCTTGGAGCCCTCGGGAAGCACTAGGAGCATCCATCAACAGAGGTACCCAGTCGGGGTGCCAGGTGATCCATTACAATACCCTATTCCTTTAATTACAGAGTTGTTTGACAGATTAAAGGGGGCATCTATACTTACCAAGCTAGATCTCAGGGGTGTGTATAACTTGGTGCGTATTAAATATGGACACAAATGGAAAACTGCATTTAACATTGGGAGTGGTCATTGCGAATATGCTGTTATGTCGTTCAGCCTGTGTAATGCACCTAAGGTTTGCCATGATTTATAAATGTTCTCAGAAAATGTTTCCTTCCTTTGTGTTTGTTTACTTGGATGATAGTCTGAACTATTCATCTAATCTAAGTACACATCACTCTCGCGTATCTAGGGTATTACAAATGCCTCTCAAGAATGGTCTATACTGCAAGCTTGAAAAATGCCTATTTGACCAAACTGAGGTAAATGTTTTAGGCTATGTAATATCTGCTTCTGAATTCAGTATGGATGTCAAGACATTGTTGGCTGTAATAGAGTGACCATTACTTCAAGGTTTAAAACCAATACAAAGGTTTATAGGGTTAGCCATCTATTACAGAAGATTCAGAAAGGATGTTTCTTCTGTAATAGCCCCTATTACACATCTCACTAAGAAGGGTTTGAACCACTATACCTGGCCCCCGAAACTGTAGAAGCTTTTGAAAAGCTAAAAAAGACTATCGTCTCTGTTCATATTCACAGACATCCACATCCTATGCTTCCTTTTATATTGGATATGGATGCATCTGTAATTGGAAAAGGTGCTGTACTTTCCCATTACATTGTGGATTCTATTATAAAAAAATTATATAGGCCGAGCGTAACTATGACATAGGGAATAGAGAGTTACCTGCCATAATTCTTGCCTTAAAAGAATGGAGGCATCTCCTAGAAGTATCAAAAGATCC